TGTGCGACACTGTTTCTAAGTGCTTTGTATATAGTAACCTATCTAACCCTCATAAAAGTCACCTGGTGAGGGTAACCAGCCGAGACACTCATCTCCTCCATCTTGGCCGCGTTTTCAAGTGCTGCCACCTCCATGGCTGGGTCTTGTAATTCTGTAAGCTTCGTCCCCTCCTCGGCTAGTTGCACACCCATTCAATTGCTTTCAGGGCCTGTTGTGCTTGCGGCCACAGCTGCTCCAGCCATCTTGGTGCCTGGAAGCCGCCTCCAATGCCCCAGCCCATTGCTTTAGTCATTGCCTATCACTATCTTCTTCACCTTTGCTGTGGCTGCCGCTGCCACTTACCATGTCCTGACTGTGGGTTGCGGTCTGGGGAGCGCTTTCTTTGTGTCTGATATGGGTGACAAAGAAGTGGCTGCATCTGACCAAGGACACCAACCAAATGTGAAGGAAGAGGAGAAGGGAGCAGGGAAGGTGGTGACGGCAGGTGGCATTGTGTAGGGAAGTGCGGGATGTGGAGTAGAGTAAGGCCTGCGGTGCTGATGTTTCCGAGGAGGCCGGTCAAGAGGGGAAAGGTGAGGATGAGGCAGAGATGGTGATGAAGGTCAGAATCTGGTGGTGAGGAGGCAGGTTATGGTGACCATGAGGCAGAGGATGTCCTTGGCCAGTTCCATTTTGCCTGTGCTGATTTTCAGTTTGGAATTGAGGATTTTGTGCTTGCCGTTAGTTCTGTTGACTTTATTGATGAAGTCAGTGACTGATAAGGTTGATATGTACTCTGGTCAGTGCTATAAACTCCCAGTCAGTGCCATCAAAATCTTTAAGTCAGAATGTGCCCAAATAGAAGCCAAATCCTATAAGGAAATTGAAGATCTTGAAAGAAAATACATTGGCTGCTATCATGTATTTGCTTTTTTTAAAATTCCAGATGCCCAGGCTGTACTCCAGACTAATTAAATTAGAAGTCCCCCAGGTAGTTCTGTTGTGTGGCCAAGGTGGAAATACTGCTCCGAGGAAGTCTGCATTTTGATTTGACTCTTTTTAATGTCAACTTGCTCAGAAATATGGTTTGAAGCCCCTGAAAGATGTCACAGTAAAGTTTCAGATGCTGGCAAGCTTACAAGGTTGCAGTAGGCTTCATTTTGAACCCAATGGAGGTGTTGACATATAAACTTAGGTTGGATCAGATAATTATGATCCTTCTTAGATAGAAGAGAAATTACAGGTTAAACAGATTAGACCAAAGGAAAGGATGCCTCTCTGAAAAGTATTCAGAGGCAGCTATAATGCAAGGAACATGGGAATGTTTGAATTGTGAATAGGACTGTTTCCAGTGACTCTGTCATTAAGTACTTGCTGTCCTGTGGAGACTCCTGAGATGGAGCCCTGGTGCCGGTGGTCGATGCTACCCTGGCAAATTAAGAATGGAGCACCTCTTCAGTGAGTCCCAAGATCAACATGGTACCTCACAGGGGAGTCTATTGGAGGTAACTGTAATGACTGAGACTTCTGTAGCCCCAGATGCTGGTGATGATGGAGAAGAAGCAGATAAAAATGTGGAAGACAAACCTAAACATATCCACATCTAGCAGAGTTCAAGCCACACTGAGTCAGGCTGTCAGTCCTTGACCATACTGGTCGTATAATGGCTCCATTGTCACTCTTCATTACTTCCAACATTGTATGTTAGGACATGTATAGTTAAGTAAAATATTTTTTATTTGTTTAAAAAATGGTTGGCAAAATACGAAACACTGGAGACACCAAATGTTGGTGAGGGAGTAGAGCAGCAGGAACTTTCATTCATTAATGGTGGGAGTGCAAAATGGTATAGCCACTTTGAAGACAAGTTTGGCAGTATCTTACAAAACCAAATGTATTCTTACCTTAGGATCCAGTGGTCATTCTCCTTGGTATTTACCCGAAGGAGTTGGAAACTTAAGTCCATGCAAAAACCTGTACATGGATGTTTATGGCAGCTTCATACACAACAGCCACAACTTGGAAGCAACCATGATGACCTTCGGTAGCTGGATGTATACATAACCTGTGGTACATCCACACAATGGGATATTATTCATCACTAAAAAGAAATGAGCTATCAAGAAAAGATGTGGAAGAACCTTAAATATATATTGCTAAGTGAAAGAAGCCAATCTGAAAAGGCTATGTGTTGTGTGATTCCAGCCGTCTGAATTTCTGGAAAAGGCAACACTGTGCAGACAGTAAAAAGATTGGTCACTGCCGGGGGTTGGGGGGCAGTGAGGCAGAGGGATAAAAAGACCGAGCAGAGAGGATTTTTAGGGCAATGAAAACTATTAAGCGGTTTCGTATGATGCTATAATGCTAGATACGTGACATGCATTTGTCAAAACCTGTAGAATGTACCACACCAAGAGTGAATTCTAAAATGAACTGTGGGCTTAGGGAGATAATAATGTGTCTGTGTAGGTTTATCAGTGGTAACCAATGTACCACTCTGGTTGGTGATCTTTTTTTGTTTTTTAAATTCAATTTATTTTATTTTTTTTTCAAGTCTTTATTTAAGTTCCAGTGAGGTACCATACAGTGTAATTTTAGTTTCAGGTGTATGGTTTAGTGATTCAACACTTACTTACAGTACCCAGTGCTCATCATGAGTGCCCTCCTTAATCCCCATCACTTATTTAACCTATGATCCCACCCTGCCTTCCCCCGGCCTCCCCTCTGGTCACCATCAGTTTTTTCTCTATAGTTAAGAGTCTGTTTCTTGGTATTCCTCTTTTTCTCCACTATGTACGTTTGTTTTGTTTCTTAAATTCCACATATGAGTGAAATCATATGGTTGTTGTCTTTCTCTGACTGACTTAATTCACTTAGCATAATGCTTTCTGGCTCCATTGGTGGGAATCTTGGTTGTGGGGGAGGCTGTGTGTATGTTGGAAAAGAGAGGTATATGGGAACTCTGTGTTTTCTGCTCAGTTTTGCTGTGAATCTGTAACTGTTCTAAAAAAGTAAAATCTATTTTAAAAATGAGCTGGAAAAACTCATTATTCTACTTGAATTCTAATAGTATAGTTTTGTGCCAGTATATGGGGTGTGGAAAGATATGTATGGTCCCTGTTTTATAATTGACTTTTTGTGAAGTTGTTTTGTTATATGCCCATAGGACTATAACTATGATATAGTCATTATCTAGTCATATATCTATAGTTATCTTACGTATGAGTTATCAGAACCGTTCGCTGATGTCAGTAGTTTTTGAGAAAAGTTTTTTGAAAAACCAGCTGAAATGATTTGAAAGTTTGCATTATGTCCTTTATCACATAGAGATTGTCTCTTATACTCATCAGGAGGCAAGAATACATTTTTGATTTGAGTATTTCTTTTGATGATTTCTTTACTAGAAATTAGTAAAAGTATGAAGTGTAAGAATTCTAGTAAGACTACATTTAACATTTTCTTTTTAAAATGATTTTCATGGGGCGCCTGGGTGGCGCAGTCGGTTAAGCGTCCGACTTCAGCCAGGTCACGATCTCGCGGTCCGTGAGTTCGAGCCCCGCGTCGGGCTCTGGGCTGATGGCTCAGAGCCTGGAGCCTGTTTGGGATTCTGTGTCTCCCTCTCTCTCTGCCCCTCCCCCGTTCATGCTCTGTCTCTCTCTGTCCCAAAAAAAATGAATAAACGTTAAAAAAAAAAAAAATTTTTAAAAATGATTTTCATATTTGCTTCAGTTTTGTATTTTCTTGAGCTGGTGACTCCAGCTCTAGTTTTATTGGGATAGACTCTTAGGGACCCCTGGGACTTTTTCAGGGCTCGTTTGGAAAACCCTGGATCTTCTCTGCAACCACCATATTTTAGAGAGGTGCACACAGACACTGAGACCCCACTCCCCTTCTCCCTGAGGTTGCACACCCAGTTGACAGTAGGTATTCACTAGATCACGTGACTTAGACTTTTAACTTGTAGTGGACTGATCTCCTAATCTGTGGTTGGCTAACAAAAATATTGTAATATGATATTTTAAGTTTATTTATTTATTTTGAGAGAGAGAGAGAGAGAGAGAGAGAGAGAGCACGAGTTGGGTAGGAGCAGGGAGAGGGAGAGAGAATTCCAAGCAGGTTCCGTGCTGTCAGCGCAGAGCCTGATTTCACAAACCATGAGATCATGACCTGAGCTGAGATCAGGAATCGGACGCTTAACCGACTGAGCCACCCAGGCACCCCTAAAATGTACTACTTTTAATGCGGTCAAACTTAAGCAGTAAAACATCAGAAAAAGAAAAGAAAAATCACTCCAAGTCCCTCTCTCCAAAGGTAGCCACTAATTAACACTTGGGTGACTGGCCTTCTAGAAACTTCTCTCTGAATATACACATATAGATTTCCAGATAAGAACAATCTGTACATCTTTTTTTGTAATTTGTTTTTAATCAACCACCAGTGGTTTTGGTGTCTTTGCCAGTTAAATATAGGTTAGTGTAATTTTTTTTTGGTCTGTAATTTTTAACGATTTTGTAGTGTCCTGTTGTGTATATTATAGTTCATTTACCCAATTGTGTATTTTCCTCCACTTTTTTTTTTTTTTTTTT